CTTAAAGTTGCAACAGAATGGGACAGTCATTTTGTTTTACAATATTTTCTGAGTCGTATGCGGGTGTTATGCAGTATGTTCAGAACTCCTGCTTCAGGCAGTATTCTTTGCACCAGTGTTACTAAATTGCTTCTCGGGTCCTTAACATCCATGAATTGTTAGAGCTTCGCACTGTTCTCAGTATCTCAGTTGCAACGGCGTCGATGACTACAGCGGCACCTTTCAGATGGTCCTGCGTTGGGTTGTTTGGCCTACGCACTAAAACTCTCAGTGGTCTTAGGGTATGGTTAACATTCTGGATTTGGGAAAAAATATGCAACTTCGTTTGTATTCCTTTATATTGTACTGCATGGATTTAAACTTGTTGAGTACGGCAGACAGATTGTCACTCAGTACTACTGAGCATTTTTCAACACCACCGGAGGTTTATCTTCCGACGATATAACAATCGGTGCTAGTTTACGCAGCAGGGTGCCACGATGTGCGTTTCTAAACATCTTTTTACGCTCGAAGTGTAGATTGAATATAAACTACAGCCTAAAATTCCAAAGTAAGAGAAGCTAACTGAACAAGGCGCAAACAGTCAAGGTTACCTATTGCCCATCATAATTATCTTAGCGAAAAACAAATTCTTTTGAACGAACATCCAGTTTTAGGTTAAATTACATACTGTCTCAATAATACCAATGTAATGCAATGGACCAGGAAGAAGGGATCATGCCAATGAAGTATGTTCCGCAGCTTATCAAATATGTATCTACCATTAGCTTTTATAAACGCACCGCACTCGTTGTGTCCAGTTGGGCAACTGAGCGGATTTGCGTATTGACCTTGGTCAACACAGTGTATAACCAAAGAAAGGGAAAGATAACGCTCCATCTGCACATGCCGAAAAGGACCACCTAAACCTCGCCCGCCGTCTCTTTATGTCCGTGATTTCAATGAATAGTATTTAGATCACGACGGTTCTTGACGTTTGGATAGCAACTACAATCAGCCTTGCGCATAGCGCATTACAATGTCCCAGTTAGTATCAGTAACAAGAGCACAGCAGGCAGGATGATCTCGCTGAATAACTTCTTGACCCTGATTCTGTCCATCACCGCCTCTTCATTTTTGACGAGCACTTTGGGTTTTCATTGCTTATCAAAATTTGTTTAATACATACAACTTTTGTGTAAAACAAACGAACTCCGTCAATAGTTAGGTTTGCAGCAGGCAACAGCACACACCATAATGTGTGTGGCCAAAGTATTTTGCAACTGGAATTTGGCACATGAAGACAAATTCAGTATGTTCTCATCGGCACAGCTATAGGCCAACATACTTTGGGAGTTGATCTGTTGACGCATTTCAAAACAATGATTTAAATAAATACTCACCGGTTGTTTGATCAGAAGACCAACATCGCATCCCGTACTTCCACCCTCTGTACGCATTCCATTCCCCTAGTAACTTTGCTACCACAACGGTCCAAAGCATATCACGTTTACTTGTCGTATTTACTGAAATATTTGGACCCAGCTTTGAATAAACTAACCCGATCAACACCACTACACATTAGGTCTAGCTTTTGTATGTCCCCTACGCATAAATCCATAGAGACTGCACGTCACCGAGGTAGAAGATCAACGAATTTTAGTGCTGTCACCGTCATTCGTGTTGCATTTCAAACATCTATGAACCCAGCGAGAAAAGTTTTGCAGCCATCGGTAAAACCAGAATCATAAAACGTCTGAAACAGATCATACAGTGTATCCGATATGTTTGGATGGATTCCTCTAACTCAGCCATAACTGGCATCGTTCAATATTGCCCTCGGCACGTCTTATGAACACCGACCGTATCTACTCATTGTCCAGCAATCTAATCGGCATTTTGCTTTGAACAGCAAATGCGCACAAGTACGATCCTTGTGTTTGCTGCGCGCCAAATCGCTTGCGGACCATAGATTTGGCTGAATCATTTTCTGTGTGGTCGACCATGCGAAAGTCAGGCACCCGCAAATCCTGGGCTTGGCAGGTCGTTGAGAGACTCGGCGAAGACATATCAACTTATCCGGACGAAATCTGTGGATCCTGGTGTAGGAGTCGATGCGGAGTACCTGGATTTCTTAAAGGAATTCGACTGCCTGGACCATTGCGTCCTACTATACCATTTCCAGATATAGCGAATCAAGGATCCCGTTCTGAGTTGGATAGGCGATTTTTCTTTCAACGTCACTTGAATGTGTGAGTTCGCCGCACTCCAATGTCAGTCCGGAGTATCTCAGGTCTCGGTACTCGAACACCGCCTGTTGCTGGTCTTCCTAAATTCTCTCAGGAGCGTGCCATCTTCAAACGGCCTGTTGTTTGCCGATAATCTTAAGATATGACATGGCATAGCTTCAGTGAAGGACCACACAGCGTTACAAGATGACCTAGACAAAGTGTACACATGGTTCATCGAGATGCTGCTGCATTTCAATGCCACTAATTGCAAATTCTAGACGTACGGCACCAGTGTATTCATAAATATGGCCTAACGGCCACAACAGCTACCACGGGCTTCCCATGAATGGGATCTCAGCTTACTTGTTTAAAATGACTTTGGTTGTTTGCGGCAGAATGAAAAGGCAGCAAAATGGCAACCAGCACTTCGGGTTTCTTCGTACAGTTTTCGGCAAGTTTGTACCTCAGTCGTTCCGAAAACCTTTGGCGCATAGGTGAGGCGCTATGCGGAATGCGCTGTCCAAGCGTGACAGCCATGGCTGTAGTACCATCTCATCGCGCTCGAGGAAGCACAACGCAGGGCGACAAAGAACGCCAGCAGCTTGTCCCGCCCTCCATACACACTCAGACTGAAAACCCACAAATTATACAGCGGACATTAGCGGCGTCTAAGGGCCGATCTCATAATGGTGTATAAGATCTTGAGAAACCTCAACGAGCTATCTCATTATCGTATGAAAGTCCAAACTCATATCTAAAGGGTCATCAGTTTAACCTTATCACACAGTACAGCCGATTGAAATGTTGATGAAATAATTGTTCCCTCTGAGTGTCACAGTCATGAAACGCTCTCCCCCGGGCACATATATTTAATGTCGCCAATTATCCCTTTCCAAAAACTACCTTGACCACACTCTGACACATTTAGACTCCGTGTTGTAGCCTATGACCATCAGATGGTGACAATGGTGCACAACAAACAATGGACGATGTCATAACCTTACTCGCAAAGGAGTTACTCCCAATCACTTGGTGACTTCTCTAGTTCACCCAATCCTTTACTGACACCGTTGTTTTATCTTCTAATCATCACACTGACTATCCTATGGGACATGTCAAGCATTCGCTTTTATACCCGTCATAAACCATTGCTCCATTGTGCTCCAGTGCAATCCTATTTTCCAGCTCTCCCACTAACTGTTATATAAAACCAAAAGTCATTGTATGCCTCCCATAATTTACCACTTAATTAAACCAAAATTTAATATATTACCAATCCTCCATCCTCAAATCACATACTATTACAACCTCTACAAATAACCTTCACACCCCCCTCTTACATCATCCCATCATACCAACTAAAAAAACATTATTTCTAATTAACACATATAACAAACAAATCAACATATCCACTTTATCCCAATAAACCCCTACCACCACACCAACATATCATCCAACCTATCAAAAACACCCCTCTCCCCCCCCCCCCCAATCCCTTCTCCCTACCTCCACATCCATTCCCCCCCCCTTTCCCTCAATCCACCCCTCTCCCTCACCCTCTCCTAATAATTCCACACAATAAACCCTATCCCCATATCCCTCTCTCTTCATTCCCTCCAACAACCCCAATCATCCCCACTCATATACAAAAACACCAAACCCCAAACCTTATAACTCACCCTCCTTCCACCACATCCCCCACACCCACCCCCCCCCCTAAACACTATTTCTAACACCCAACTCCCTCACCCAACCTTTCGACCCTTCCCATAATATCCTCTCCACATGCCATACCCTACACAATAAACATTCAAAATGGTTTGAAAAAATCCTAATACCCACATCCCGCAAAAAACCGGTCCAACAACCCATCTGCTTGATACTAAATACATATTAGTGTTATGCGTACGGCTGGACAAATGAACATCCTTCAAGTCACCCAATATTGTCATAATTTTATCATTACTCCCCCATAATTGAGTTATCCTAACTACAACTGACCGACCAAGTTGACGGAAGAGTCATCGAGGATGTAAAATGTGCTATGTGTATTTTCTCTGACTCCAGTGGTGTCCATCTTTTTCCATATGAATTAGTATCATTCCTTGAACTATCTTTTTTTAAACAAAGCAGCGTGCAGCCCCACGTTTTCGTATTATCGAGCAGGTGCTGGAGCTCGTAAATGTCGTCTTACTATCAGTTTACCAATGATTCACTCAGCCGCGTGGCTAGAGGATGCAACGTACAAATTATTTCAAGAGCAGACACATAGATTGGTTGACAAAGTAGCAAATATTGGGGGATAAAACTCGGCACTTTGAAATCAGTTACTGGTCACGCATAATACGAAAGATTATGAGTTTGAACGAGTCGAAGGCATATTTTAGTACGACGGCGTTCACTGAAGATTTGTGTAATCTGTTACGGAGAGGCAACAGTTAACAAGCGATTACCGTTTACAACACAGTTTAGCCGTTGTTGATGAAACCTTATCAAAGGGAATGGTTGTGTTTCATACTACACTGATTACTTCCTTTCGTCCAGCAACGTAACCAAGAGTGGCTGCATAGAACGTGGTGCATGTGCTTTTGAACAGTAGCATCTGTAGTGTGGTCCATATCGGTTCATTGACGTTGTTCGCTGGTTTCAAGTGGAATTCGTCAGTAGCGATAGCTGCACACGTACTCCGTTCATGGTTTGTCCTCGTTCAGCTGTACTTGTACTATACTTGTAATGTAGTGGCAGTATAAATGCGAACCGTGTAGCTCAGGTCGGGGCTGCGATCTCACAATGGCTGGTACTAAGGTCAAGGTAAGAAATCGCGTGTTACTCTGGCAGAATCTGTCAAATCAGCTAATAACTAGAATTGTATACTTGGTGTGCTGGTGAAGGTGCCTAATTGGTGTTCTCTCCCTCTGACAGGCTGCTGTTATTCTCCTGTGTCTTGTTGTGATCGAGCTGAGCTCCTGCCCATGTGATGGGAAGAGGGTACGAAAAGATGTTTTTAAGAGACTTCGTGATGGTAAGTGTCAATTCTGTTTGAACATAGAAGAATTATATACCTACTAAACTACTGGTACGCGCATACTTAAAAATATTACACTAATGTGTCGTTTGTTTCAGCTACGCCGGAGCCAGGCAGAGAGAATGAATTCGACATGGTACAAAGGCCAGTGAGGAACGACTTCAACTATATTGAATTCATGAGAAATCGTAAAAATCAGCACTGAGGAGACCAAGTTAGCGCTGAATTCCTCGTTTATCATTCAGTCTTTTCCTAGTTAGTGTAACTGAGGCTGTAATAATTAACTATGTTAAAATAAAATATTACTAATTCTTTGTCATGCTGCTGAGTATTCTTTGGGTATCTGCCGATATTACTGTTTTAGTGCCTGTACTCATCACACATTTGTACTTCGTAGCGCGTCGTGTCTTACGGCATTTACTAGTGACCATGTATCGCGTTCTGCTGAACTTACTCCCAATAATTCTGGTGACGTTAGCGATCGTAAAACCACGCGACTGATTTGCATCGGACTAAGGGCACCAAATGCTTCGTGTTGCTTGTTAACACTTCGGCGTCACTGTACAAACTAAACAGGGGAATGGAACATGTTAGTATAAACCGCTAGTCATAGGGTCCACTATTAAACACTTTCTTTGAATCCTTTATATAACTCGGGTTTTCAGGTGTCGTGGCCCTTTACCAACTGTGTAAGTTAATGCCTGATGTCGGTAAGCCTAAACTTCAAACAGGTAGTGGATAATTTCGCTTTTTTCTTGTTTTGTGATACCGGACGATAAGCAAGATTGGAGAAGAAGCATATATTATCGAGTTACGTCGTGTAGACAGGTGATCGTCGTTAACTTTTTCGATTTTTTTGGCAACTAGTGAGTGTAAAACAAGCGTTGCCCAAATCTCGCCTCTCAGAAATGAGTTATCGGCTGATAATTTGCGCCACTTTTCTTCGTCATTTCAAACTGGCGGCTTGGTCAGGCAGGATATACCACTGGCAACGGATGAAAGCCCGTGAACTTTAGCAGCACAATTCGCTGGAAGCGTACTTGTGTAATAAATGGAAGAAATCTACGTTACGTAGTTGCCTTCATCTTCTGAACTAACACGCATTTGCATCTTACAACACTTAGCGATAGTCAACAGCAATTCCTTAGTGGGATCAGTTTTACACACGTGAACAGTTTGCGGATATTGCGACATGACTGCAGATAGTGTGTAAGATCCGAGCGCACAGGTTAGACAGAATGATATGTTAACAGCAACTGTGATCAATCACCTATCCAACTTTGATTCATGTCTACGGTTTCTAGCTGCTATCCGGTGAAATAAGGTTTAACTCTTTTTCATCTGCTCCGTTGTGAAAGCTGAATTTACTAAAGCAGTATGTGAATATTTTGAATGAGAATTTTCAGTGCCGTGGATGATTGTGATACTCTAGCCGGACTGTAATTTATGTGGATGTCGCATTTGTAAATGTGATGCTGGTCTGCAGTCTTACCCGCTGAGTTGGTAACGTTTTCCTCCACTTCTCGTACAACTACTTGGAGATAAGCGGAAACAAAAATTCGGGTGTTTATTTGAGAAAGATTATCATTCGATGCGCATCGTAAATAATAATCCTTATTGCAACAAGGCTGTCATAATGTTTATAGTTTTCACCCTTCAAACGCAGGAGAGTTTCCTGCTAGCTGCAGATCATTTTTACTTTAAGGTCATTATTGACCACAGGCACTCAATCCCGAAGCTAGACATGTGAGTACTGCATTTAACTACACAGAATACTTGGTGAATGTGGCTGCAGAAGAAAATTTACTTTTAATGTACTTCAATCAAACTAATGAGATAATTAAGCTGCTCTCCGTTTGCGTGTGCGCATCAACTGTACAGTTAGTGTGCAAACACACACCATTCAATTAGTACAACTGATCCTCTTCCACATTGCCCTTAGCAGGTCACTGCCATGCAAACTTATTTAAACGTTCTCGACAAAAGAAGAACCTCATGTACTTTCTGCACTTACATTAAGGAATTGCATGTGGAATGGTGGGTTTTATGGAAGCTTTCTAGAACTCAAGGCATGAGTAATCATGTTGATCACATTAACAACCTGGGTCAGTCACTGCGATGAATTGGTCCGACACAGGTTTGCCGAGTCTTTGCAGAGAGGTCACAAGCACTGAATGTTTTCTGACCAAACTACACCAGTACGGATTTATAAAGACCAACTCACTGGCAAGTGGGGTTAATGTCCATCAATACTGCTGGCCACCTCATCGACGTTGTACAACCAGTTGCTTTAACCACTGGCTCTACATGTACGAAGAGATATCGTGGAACAATCAGTGGTAGAGTAAAGTATTCACTGCCAAACGATGCCATGCTGTTTCGAGCATCGAGAAGAGAAGAGCTGGCATTACTGGGCTTGAAATCCGATGGCCTGCTGCTCCCGCTTTTTCAAATGCCATTTCCTGTCACAGTTTGTACCTCATATTGGTGCAATACAACTCACTTGCGGTCAAATGGGACACACCTGCATCGCTAGGGCATGAAAGTATTCTGATCAGCAACAACATTTATGGAAGGTCACGGTGTAAGGTTGTCAAATTTAAGACAACAACTACAGACCTACAAAGAACTGAAGACAATGCTCATATGTACACCCAAAAGTAGATAAATCCATCGCACATATGAGACGATACATCGACTGTTCACTATGCTCCTCATTAGTTGGGATTTAACATCCGTTCACTGCTATGAGCTATGTAGCAGTTAGGCATTATTCTGAGGTAAAGCACTTGAATCGCAAGCTACTCCGCTGCAGTATTTTGAAAGGTAAAGAACAACTCACCATAAATTATGCAGGCTTTTCAGTAGCTTTGCCGACGCATTGGAGTGCCACCAGCGAGTGACAGTGTAATATTATCAGAAAAATGTCTTCACAGACAAGTTGCACATATGGGTTGTCTATCATAATGAATAATTCTTGTTACTCGACGGGATGCAGCATTTTTAGTGCCCTTTCACAAGTGACTCTCGACAATTTCTCTCTCTCTCTCGCTAGGGCCACTCAGCTAGGTCTCGTTCACGCTGGACCAATAACTTTCCACTCGAGTTAAACAAGCAGAAACAGTTGGTTTTCTATTTATATTTTTAGTATCCAATAAGTGCTACACGTGTGGCAGATAACTACAACGCTATAGAAATTATAGTCTGCTGTGTTAGTCAACCACACACAGTCTGAGTATCAAACGAGCCAGCCTGTGCCGCATGAATTCTTTTTTACGATATTCAAGGCGATATTACGTAAGAATCTAGATTCGTGAATCCTGCACTTAGTCCAAGATTATTAGGTGTCCGAAACATCAGTTCGGTCAATTCTGCCCATTTTGATGGCACTAAATCTTGATACTCACCCTCCTCGTTCATTAGACGTCGGGTTGCAGCGGCATACGTTACCCTACACTTCGCTTTTAAACAGTTCACTAAGGGCAGATTAGTTAATTAACTCCAATATAGTAGCAGCATACCTTGGCTTTTGGACAACAGACTGATCTCATACATTTATCGCCATTCAGTCATATAGAACAAGAGTTTCATACACAAATTCCGTTGAAATTGATTCCTGGCTTAACATCTCACCTAGACGACGCTCACTCTTCTTCCCATCGACCGATGCCTCTGCGTATGACGGTCACAGATAGGAGCATAACGAAAACATAGTAGATGGTTGTTATGGTCGCTAATTCAAAAGTGTGGTCCGTTTAACGCACTACTTCAACACCAGGTAACCTTACGATCGATCAACGCGTGGATGCCAATCTCTCCAAATTAATAATCCTAGTTTGGAGGACTGTCCCACATAATGGTATTTAGTTGCTATACATACAGCTGTCATCTGGTTTCTTAACATATTTAAGATAACTAATGGCTAAACATACTACGTTTGGAAGCCCTGCAATGTGAAATCACAGCACTGATTTGCGTCGAACCCAGCACCATGCATTACACTGTATGGCAAACTATGCTGAGTTAATGCGACCTCTTGTTCCATCCGTTTGAGTGAATTATGCTCTAGTATATATTACGTGTGTGTAGCCTTCGATTTGACCCGAAGGCGTAGATCAGATTGGTTCCTTCAGCCGATCAGGGCAATGCGCCATACTAGTCTTAAAGAAGGAAAAACTCAGACCAAGTACAATCCTTGATTGCAAGAATAACGCCGCAGTAAATTTGTAAATGTCATGCGCACGAAGTTCGTTTTTGCTATTTGCTCTCACGATAGAATGGCGTTCCTGTGTATTCCGTGTACAGGAATCTTTTGGCGTATCTTCAATAATTAGATGATGGAGCTTTCGCGCCACCTAATCAAAGGCCAACGGCAGTGTCCCTTCGAATTGGACGTAAGTGGGAAACGGCGTCTCAGAGTACAACAGCGTATTGATTCAAAAACTCCACGTTCGTAACATGGAACTGAATGTGGGTTTCTTCCGAACAGTAACCCAGAACTGGATGTATCTAGGTACTGCTAAGCGTGCTCAAATTCACGTTGCATGAAATAGTTCATCAGCGCTATAAACCAGTGACAACATAAGCTGCGATTTGAACAAAAAAACGTCAAAGAGATGCGCAGATTGACCTAAACATTGGGGCACACCTGAATGGCTTCATCCAAATGTATAGCGAAGATCCAGAGAAAGTACTAACCACGCATCTACTATTCCTCATAGAAAATGGTTAATCCAACAACCAGTGCAAATATGATACTGCAGGAACCTAATTTCTAACGGCTGATGTTATCTGCGCATCTTTGATGTCTAGCACACAATAGATCCATCAATATATATAGAAAGAATACTCCTTACCCTGCCCGAAAAATGTGAAGAGGGATTGTCTACAAAAAGGCAGATTTACAAACGTAATACAAGTTTAAAATGTATTATTCTTAAACCTTCGATACAAGTTTAACTTGGTCGCTGTAATGTCTATCCTCTAGATTTCTCATAAACTCCTTGAAATCAAACTCCTCCTTCAATGGCCTTTGCACCATGTCGAATTCATCCTCTTTACCTGGTTCTGGCGTTGCTGAAATAAAAACGGAATTAGGTGAAACACTTGATGACTTAAGCAGAGTACAGTAGCATGGGATGATACATCTCTTCTCCTTACATTTGAACAGAGTCACCACTTACCATCACGAAGTTGTTTAAATACATGTTTTGGTACCCTCTTGCTATCACACGTAAAGGAGTTCAGCTGGATCAGCACAAGCAGGAGTAGCAGAACATACTGTCAAGGCAAAACATACGTATCAGTCAATTTACCGGCACACCAGGTATAAACTAATACTATCTGATGAGACGATTCCTTCAGACACACAAGCGAATGCTTACAGTACGTTTACTAACAGCCATTGCGAGATCGTAACGCGGACTTAAACGCGGCTCTTATTTATATCACTAATACCATGTACAGAGCACAGATGAACAAGGACAAACCTTGCACCAGATGTCTCCACTCAGTTATCGGGCAGTAACTACTAAAACGGTGGGCCAATGAACGACGTCAATAACTACATATGCACAATACTGCAGGCGTATCCGTTCAAACCCACATGAACCATGTGATCTATCGCAATTTGTTGTTCACACTTAATGGACAAACGGAGGTGATCAGCACAGTGTAACAACGCGGCCATTCCATTTGATCAGGTTTCATCATTAACGAGAATTCATCGTGTAGACATGTAGACTCTGGTGAACCACTCGTGTTCCAAATCAATTCGTACGTTCCATCCGTGTATGTCGTCGTACGAACCCGGTTAATTGTCACATTGCTTGGTCGGTATTTTACCACACATGACCGGAAATTGTCGCTTGAAAATTCCCTACTATGCCAAACCGCACGTAGTCCTTATTTATCTAGGCGGCAAGGAACCACGTAGCAAAACAATATGTACGAGAACTAACACCTGCTCGAAAATGCGGATGTACTGGTAGGTTTGTGTAAACAGACGGGTAGCTTAATAATCAATAGTCATTCGGATGGGTACAAATAAACACCAAGCGAGTGGGAAAGAATAAATTCAACCTTTTGCATCCTCACTAATACGAAGCGAGTGACTGGAACTTTACAATCATCGCGTATTCAATCCAAGTTGCCAAGCCTGTCAGTCAGCTTTGGTAGATACCACTTGTGACACCAGAACATTCCGGCCGTTCAACTTGCACGGCCTTTTACATCCCATCTAAGTTCTCTAATATCTCATTCGTAATCCTTTATGTAAACTTCATTCTAACCAGAATCTCCTCACCGTGAGTTTCGAATTCATGAAGCTGACAATTTATGCGTACGTCAAATATTTCGTACTTTCCTGATCGTTTGTACGGCTTCCTTTACATCCTAGGTGGCTCGAAACTTGAACACTCGTAATAATGTGAGAGATTCGTGCCGTCATTTTCTCTTTAGCACCGATCTTTTCAATCCTCTTCGACCCCATTTTCAGTGCCTCCAAGTGATCTTTACTTGTATGCATCGCATTTGTCAGCCCTCCATCGTCTTTTGTACAGTAATAGTGGAAAGACCACTGTCCACTCGCACCAGTTAGCGGTACCCACGGACGCCGCGGCACTTTGCTATACGGTGCTCGATTATACTTTTACTTCGGGATTACTGTGTTATAAACCATTTATCTGTGTGAATTGTACACCAATGCCCTAGTTTTGTGTAGTTTTCCATCTGTGCAAGTTTGATGGATATCCTTTGGGTAATTTCGGATAGCTCACTGCTTGGCCCAACCACCTTTCGTGTCCGCCATTTTGAATTTGTTCTACAACGCTCTAACCTGTGCCAGTCAGACCACCAGCTTGACCGACAGCGTTGGGATTCAGCTTACTCGTGTCGACGTTGCAGGGAAGTACATCTGCAGAACGGACAGCCAAAATGGTACCTACTACTTGCCAACGGACTGCTAAGCCTAAAGTTTCCGAAATAAACCTTAGTTGTGACGAAGCCAACTGTTTAAAAATTTGTGTGCATTGAGATAGAGGGTAGAAGTTGTCGAACAAATTTTCATCCCAGATGTGCTCGCCTTACTTTCACCCAAATAAAAAGCTTAATAGTAGGACTGATTCCTGCTGATTCTACAATGAGTTTACGTCTATTCCAGTCGTCAGCTTTATACTTGTCTTGGCACAGTGCGATAGTCTGACAACGATTGTAGAACAAGCAGCGGTCGTGAGAGCTATCTCACGGGAACCAAAGAAAACAGTGCCTTGATCTCAATGGTTGTCAGTAATCTCCAATCCAGTACAGTGTAGCCGGGCCGAAAATAAATAGTAAAGATCCAGAGTTAGCCACCCCGACACTAAAGGCTGCTCATAAAGATGCCTTCGCCACACTTCTTTACCAGAACCACACACCACCGGCAATATACGCGTCGGCCTTTGCTACCCATATGACAGAAGCAAGTCCCAAATTAACCCTGACAGATGCCAAAATAATTAATACAACCTACGCCACCACGTGATGCACTACGCCATCAGATGTCCGACCGAATAAAGTAGCCACTGGTCCCTCCAAAAAAGAGAACATGTAGCAGCACCACAATTCTCGTTTGTTATATGATATAAGATGACTGAATCCAGGAGAAACTCCATAAAACATAAGCTACTAGCCGACAGGAAACAGTGAGACTCCCTGTGTCAACTCATATGGGTTCCAGCTAAACCAGTAGAGTGCTCTCACTCGAGAACGTTATCGCTAATTCGACATTACGGTTACCGCTATTACTTATTCACAAAGGGTGTGCGCCCCAAGTGATTAAACTAGTATTACACTCCGAATTGATGGCTGAATATATGATCAAATGTGGCGTAAGAAGCGTAGCATTTTGACGTCCGAAATACGTATAAAGTCGATAGGTGCCGGGCCACAGATAAAGGTAATACTGTGCAGACAATTTACCAATACAACTCAGTCACCATGTAGTTTAGAACGGCGACAATACCAAAACATGCCGGAAGCTGAAGGATGACAGGATGGCCACCCACTTGTTGGCGCTGAGAACTGCATACAACTACCTGAACTGGCGCTAGGGCCTGCTTCGTTGGTCCCACAACAAAAACGGCTGGCAGCCGACCCTGCAAGGGTCAGCATAAACCCTCACTTGAAATTCGCATTCATAAACAAGCTTCTAACCTCCAGTGCCCTCACCCGCTTGTATAAAAATGCACAAAGTCTTCTCACCAAGCTAACCTAATTTCGTATTCTTCAGGTCTCCACGACCCGGGACCTAATTATGGTCACCAGAACATGGCCGAACACAGAGATCACTGATGCTGAGATTGCTCCACTTGACATGGCTTCCATACGAAACGATCGACCTAGCAGAGTAGGGGGAGTGCTCCTGTATTATCGCACCGACCTGCATGTTGATATCAATGATGACCCAAAAGCGCAAGTCCTCAATGCTCTTTGGTTTCGTATGCACCAAACATGTAGTGATGTATGTTTACTAGCAATTATTTACCGACCTCTAATGCCCATCTTGGAAATAGATCAATGTCTAGCTTCTGCGTGAAACGAGTCCTGGCACCGCCATACAGTAACGTCCTTCTGGTGGGGGACATTAATCTGCACGCAATCGAAGTTCCAGCATCGGACTGCGAACAATTCAGGGCAGATTTGCAAAAGTGATCGCCGATCTACTTCGGTACAACTATGAAACCTCTCCCACGCGATTCCGAACAGGTGATGCACCCACTGTCTCGGACCTTGGACCCACGTGGAACTTGGACCAACTAATGTTCGCCACCGTGATCGTAGATGTACGTACCAGTTAGCCGTAGCGATCAGGTAATGTTGCTCTTTCGTTACATCTGTTACTCGGAGTAGATCTGTGAGAACGAGGGGGAAAGCTAGGTCGTTACACTTACGACATACACACACATACCTTAGACATACGACATACGATATAATGTCCAATTTCGTTCAAGAAACCGACTGGTCCTTGCTGGCCGAGAAGCCACCCGATGTCACCTAGATGTTGTTCGTCACCAAATTCACTAAGTTAGTAGCAAAAGGTCAAAAAGCAAGGTCTTTTGCCCGAAGCAAGTGAATTCGTTCCTGAGGAGCTGTACTACAAAATGCAAGGCCCCAAGGGATTCAGCCTCGCGCTTACAAAGTCTGTCCAAGTAACCTGACCTAGGATGCTTACACGACTCAAGGAAAACTGCGTCAATTTGATCCGTGAAGACTAATTCCAGCACCAACAGAACCTAGCGGCGAAATTCAGTACGCTTACCAGAGAGTGTATCAGGCTTAAAGCACATAACGTTCACATCAGCCAATGTGATGAAAAGGCTAGTGTCACTGCGTGTGTACGACTCACTTGGCATTTAAGACAGCAAACTGAAGGCATAAAAGACAGCTTCGTGAACTTTGCTGCGCCATTAGCTCGGTTATTTCAACGTTATCTCGACGAAATGCAAGTTACTACCACGTGAACATGAACTAGTCATTCATATTCACAAAAGTGGTAATCATGAGGAGCCCTCGAACATTCGTCCAATCACCCTTTTCCCAATTTTGTCCAAATAATGGGAGATATGATCGCAGAGGCGCTCATGAAATATCTTGAGGGCAACAATATCCTAGTGTCACAGCAACACGGATTTCGCCGAAGTCGGCCTTGCATCACTAAATTACTTCTAGCCCAAGCAAGCTGGACAGAGTCAGTCGATCCCAGAGTGGAGTTGACGTCGTCTACTAAATTTCCCGGAAGCGTTCGATCGATTGGATCTTCGCATTCTCCTGTACAAACTTCAAAGCTATGGAATCGGTGACCCTGTGCTCGGTTAGATCAGCAACTTCCTCAATCAACATCAGCTGAATTTGAGCGTCCGCGGCTCAATTTCCGATCCAATTGAGGTCCAGTGTGTTGCACCCCAAGGATCGGGAATGGGGCAACGTTAATTCCTAGCATTCATTAACGATCCTGCCATCGTACTGCAGTCGCATTTCTTGATATTTGCAGATAATGTCAAAATGTGCTATGACATCAGGACAGCGAATGATCACATGATGTTACAAAGCGATCTCGACAGGGCTTATGCGTGGTTATCCGATAATCTGCTCCAGTTGCACGTGGCGAAGTGCAAAGTCGTGATCATACGCTCTCTATGAATATCCACTTAAGGAGCAGCAGACGCAGCGTGCTTCCCAGAAAAACGACCTCTAGATGATCATGCAAAACGATTTTGGTTACTGGAGAAAGAAAAGACATCAAAAAGAGCCAGTCAACATCTTGTACGCTGACGGTGGGCTTTCGGAAATTTCGAGCTATCAGACTTCTGCAAATGCTGAATGCCACCTGAGGCTCTAGGTTGAACATGCGATCCAGATCTGGTGTCCGTGGCGC